GCTTCTCCCTGTCCGACGCATTATTGGCACAAAATATTTGTTCCAAAAACTCTTGGAAAGTTTGTGTGTTAAACGCCACTTTTTCGCTCCACTGTTCAAACCCATGATGGCAAAGTACGTAAATTCAGAATACGAGCTTCAGAGCCGCTTTGGGTCAAAGGCAGGTGTGGAAGAAGGGGGCTCGCGGCCTTCTAAGGCAGCAAGTGTTTTCTTCTTCAGGGCTCTGTTGCATTTCAGATCTGGCCTGTACTGCTTTTTTAAGTAGTCTGCATGCCAAAAAAAAAAAAAGAGCACACAACTATAATTAGAAATTGGAACCAATATCCAAATGGAGACAACAGCTAAGTACACAAGCTGAGTAAAGCAGTAATAATATTTTCACCACGAGGAAACGCTAACATAAATATTCTGCCTTTTCCCAGATGAGCTGTGTACTATTGTAAACATCAATGCTGGGTCACGCTAACATTAGTCAGCAGAAAGCGGCTTAGTTTTTGAATGGCCGATGTCTAGAGCTTCGGGAGTCATTTTTGTCTTGTTGCCTTTTTTTGTGACGTTGTTGGCTCTCCAGAGCCCTAGGTCTCCCAGAAAATCGGTGAAGAAGGAAGAAAAAAAAACCCTGCATTTCTTGCCAGTTGTTTTTCTTTGCGGTTGTGGGTGGGTGGAAAAGACAAAATGTGGTTTAGGAATTAAATGCAGATGACCGCAGGTCTCCTCTCGGGGATACTGTGGAAAACATCTAATGTAAGAGTTGCAGCTGACCACTGACCACAGCTCGCCCGCCCACCTCCCAACTTCAGAGTCCCGAAATCGGGAAGCCGAGCCAGGGAAGGAAGCGTGCTGGCCGAGAGGCTTTTTTTTTTTAAAGAAAACTTTTTATTTTGGGTTGTTTTCATAACTGAAACTAAGAAACTCTTCTTTGTATGAAACCATTCCAGTTAATGACCGTAACATTAGAAAGGCAGGAGCCTTTTGCAGTTGCAGAAGCGATTCAGCGTTTTAAGTCCTGCAATTTAGTGGGCGCTCTGGTTTTTAATGCTGTTTTAGCGTCACCCTCGCACTCCCGATTCCTGGCAATTTAACAGTGACGTTGCGTTATCCCGCTCCGAAAAGCACGAGGTAAGCTGGAGGGAAGTGCGGAGAGGACTAGTGACCACTGTCGCGCCACTCCGCAAAGCAACTGCTGAATTCTGAAGCTCAAGGCCTTTTGTTAGCTGCTAGGTATTATTGATGAAATCACAAACACCGATGTCCATGTGTTATTAATTTCTAGGGGCTGACACTTTTCATCTTGCACCTTGCTGAAGGGACTCTTCCTGTCCAGAGTCCAGAGCAGTGATCGCAGCTGTTCACAAGCCCAATCTCCGTTTCATACTAGCTTTCTCTTTTCACCCGATGCTCTATTCATCGTTTGTCGACCGTTTCTCGAAAATGCATGCTGCCTCTCGGGCTACGCTCCGCAGGGCCGCCCAAAAATATTGTCCGCCATGGGCCACAGATGTGCAGCAGCTCACCGAGCCGGCCTGCCTTTGGAAGATGTAGCATTGGGAGAGCAGGCAGTTCAGGCCAGAATCAGACCCAGGACTCGGCAGCAGTGAGACAGCAGCGCAAGCTGCCACTGAAGAACCCCACCCATCTCAACTGCCCTGTGCGCCGGTCCCTCGACTGGATAGTTCTACCTTTTTAAAGAACTTTTAATTGTACCCTGCGCCTTACCCTTTCTCCCACATGTTCATTTTCCGAATTTTAAACATTCCTCTCTTTTATTACACACTTGGGGAATTTTCTACCTGCACAGCCTATACAAAAGAATACATCATGCGCTATTATTTGTCACTTTACACCTTGCAATTCACTGGCATCAGGGTTCCTAAGCACTGCTCAGAGGCAGAAGTACTTGGGAGGTCTAAGGCAAGGCGGGTTTCATTCTTGTTTAACGTGTAGTTGGAAGTCTTTCCCCTTGAGTGCTGGTGTTAATTGCTGGTATGAACTGAAATGCAAACACTCCTGTTAATGTGGGTTAGCGTATCTCTTACGGCGTAAAGTTTCATCAGTCAGCTCACAGGAGACCAAAGGCATTTTGGTGTTTCCCCACAACGAAGGGTAAAGTTCACCAGAAACCAGCAGTGCTTTTTTTAGTCAGTTTCTCTTTGTGGAGTTCAAGGTTTAGAAAGTCCGTCCTCATTGGTTGCTGTATCCTATCCATATCCCGCCTATCACAGTGGCTTCAGGAGATCAGGGTCAGCACCTAGTGATAATGTCCACTTCCTTAGGTCAGGGGGGGTATTTCTGGTGGTGTAAGAGTGTGTGTGATGGCCCTACCTGGAATATGCTTCTGAGCACGGCAGTTCATTGCTCAGGTCAGCATGCGACTGACCTTGCATCTTGCGTTTTAATTTTTGTTGGATAGGTTTGTCCGTTAGAAAAGACTCGGCTTTGAGAGAAGGCGGTGATGTGCTCCTAAAGAGTACTTACTCATCGTACAGGCCTCCAAAGTCATTGCATCTCCCGGAGCCCTCAGGCTGCAAATAAACGGTCTGCTAAAATTCCTTCTGACAATGGAAATTCTTAAGATAAACTGAATGCCTCTTGTCCGAGTCTTCAGTTTGCAAGGCTCGGCTTTGGAGCTTCGGTACTTCTCTTGTTTAGTGCTTAGTGGCTTATAATGTCGCAATGTTTAATATGTTCAGCTAAATCGGTGTGCCTGCTGTCAACATGTACACCCTGTGCAGGGATATACTCTGTAGTGATAGCTGCTGAATGAACGTTGTTATACTGTACAGTGATTTATTGTACAGTACAGTATGTTATACAGGTCAGGGTACACAAATGTGGAAAAGAGTTTCCTACGTCGGCTGACAATGTGATGCTTTTGTTAAAACATCACTACCATGTAGCATCGCTGCCTTGAAGCACCGGGGCCTCTGGACTTCAGTTTCCAGGGCTGGGGGTGCTCTCTGCTTGGAGTTTCTGTGCTCTGCCTGTGTGTGCGTGGATTTCCTCCCACAGTCCAAAAACGTACACACACCTAAGTCCAATTAACCTACCGGTCGGTGTCTGTCGGTGCCAGTCTCTCCTGTGATGGACTGGCATCTCTTCCAGGGTGTACCCTGCCTAGTAACCAGAGACCCTGAATCGGAAGAAGTGGTTAGAAAATGAACGAATGAATGGATGGATTTTGGTTAAATATGTTGCCTTAATTTCAATCTGACAGGCCAGTTCTTACCGAATCGAACTGCATTGCAGTAATCTACTGTCACGTAAATTTCAGATCGTTTCTCTGCTTGAAAACAGGCGTGTCTTGTTCCATGCTAAAGGTTTTCCTGGACAGTGGTGGCCAGATTTGGACAGGAGATCTACTTTCTCCTGGTGGATGCTTCTAAGCGTATCCTCCCATAGACTAAGGGCTGATATACTCTCTGACCTGAAAACTAAAACACATTTTCGATGGCATTTTTTTCCCTAATGTTTGAAAAGTACTGTAATTCAGAGAAAATGGTAAAAGGTGTTCAAATCTATCGTGTGCATGTGATGTTCTTCAAAGATATGGTGAAAAACCTTTCCCGAAAGTTGGCCTGTATTCACTCACTACGTCTGATGTGCAAAAGCGTGTGTTTTTGTTCTGAGAGAGACTCCCTTCGGGGTAATGTGAGCTACGCTGGAATCGGCAGACTTATTGCTTGTCATGCCCGGTTGGTTCTGATAGCCACACGTGAGTGGTTTGGCCAAGGGTGGCCAGTCAATCGGTGTGTGAGCTGGGATTTGAAATGAGGTCTGTTTGGGGAGCCTCTCCCGCCTCAGCCTAAACCTCTGAAGAACACCAGCTCCTGATTAGTAGCACATGTGCTGCTGTGCGCCCTGTAGAGATTGTTTGAAGAGAAGAAACCTGGGAAGTTCTGTCAGACGTCTGAACCTCCTTCGGGCTGCTACTGTAATTCATCATGTGCAGCAGCAGTCTCTTTGTGCTCGTTTGCCCTTGCTGTTATACAACTTAATTCCCTCCTCCGATGGCGGGGGAAGCCGAACGGAAACGCGGGGTTTTTAAGGACGGATGGAGGTCGTGTCATGGTGGGACACTTCATCCGTTCATCTTGTGTTAAATGGGTGGCAGCCGGCTCTGCCTGTGCTAAAATACCCTAGAATACAGCTGTGAGCTGGGGGGTGGCCGGGGGACACTTTCAGATTGTAAAAATTGTGAAACGGTATTTCCTGTCCCTGTCCTCCTCCTTCCTGTGGTGATCTTGCTTTTGTGACCTCCACAGACACACGGCAGTCAGACAGACATTTCGAAGTTACTTGGGTTTTGTTACAGGCGAAAACAATAACTTCCTTATTTTCCGAAACGTGGTATTCTCTTTGAGGGGTGGCAAAATTTGTTCTGCAGCAGCAGGAATGCACTCAAAGCACAGAACAGTCAAATTGTCCAGCCAGTCTTCTGCTATCCTGAACTTTTTTTTTTTAACTTCGATACGGAGGTTCCCAGAAAGAAAGATAGAAGCTGTTGATTTGCCGTCTGTCCGCCTGTCAATCTGTCCAGTCAGTCGATTTATTCTAATCTAATCCCTTCCATAGTGAGCAGCCTGTCCAAGTGCTTGACAGAACAGTGCACAGAGGCAGAGGACTGACCTAGGTGCTGGAGGAGCTCAGTTTTACTGGTTGGTGCGCACGAGTGTCCGAACGGGGAGGTGATTCAAAACTTTGTAATGGCCAGAATTCAGATTTTCAGTAGCCTATAACACATTATCATGTAAAGCCAAAAGTTTCAAGCCCCGATGTTTTTAACGTTCTCCCCTGTTGTTTCCTTCCGATTTTGGTTTTTGAACACCAACGCATTGCTCCTGCTGTGCGTGTGTAGTGTATGTGCTGTAGCCAGCGGGATAGCTTCTATATGCTGCCCAGTCTTTCTCTACGCTGTCGAAATCTGTCAAGTGGAGCGTGGGATAGGGGGCGCCAGCAGACGCAGCACCTGACGGCCTGGTCCCCGATGTCTCCTCCTGCAGCGCAGCACGACCGAGAGCTCTCGCCACGGCGGCGGCACCACCGGGAGTTCAGGTTCAACCTGTCCCAGATCCCCGAGGGAGAAGCCGTCACGGCGGCCGAGTTCCGGATCTACAAGGAGTGCGTCAGCGAGGCCTTCAAGAACGAGACCTTCGTCATCTCCGTCTACCAGGTGGTGCAGGAGTACGAGGACAGGTAGGAAGGATCGGCTTTTGATAATAATGATAATGTGATAATGTTGCTTTATTAGCCCTATACAATTTCTTGCATTAGGAATTCGTCTTTTCGCAGACCCCAGCTTGCTCTCCATGAGACACACAGACAGGGAGAGAAGATTGGGGTCAGAGAGCAGGGTCAGCCCCATTCGTACGGCGCCCCTGGAGGAGCAGTGGGGGTGAAGGGCCTTGCTCAGGGGCCCAACGGAGTAGGATTCCTCTGCCGGCTGCGGGATTTGAACCGGCAACCTTCCAGTCACAGGCGCAGATCCTGAGCCACAGAGCCACCGCTCCACCCCTCTCTTTTCTCTCTCTCTGAGCATCGTCGCCAGGGCATCCTCGTTGGCCCAGGCTGTTGGGTTTAATTCTGGAGAACAGAGATCATTTACTAAATTGGGGGGGGGGGGAGACAATTTCACAGGTGCCGTACTCGTGTTTTAAAATTGAGATCAGTTGAGGTTCTGGAGCGTCTCGGGAGGCAGCCATCTCTCATTTGTGACCCCAAACGATGAGACGATGAAAGCTTGGGACCCATACAAACGAGTCTGTTAAAAAACCATGGTATCGCTGACGCTTTTATGATTCTCCTGTTTCTAAGGATTGTTGTTATTATCTTTATCATAAACCGTGAGGCTAATAAACTCTAATCTGGAAATGAATCGGATTTAATTGCATTTCCTTGAGTAAATAACGGAATAGTGGATAACGCCTTAGTTTCCTCTGAAGTGACGCATCTTTTTACAACTGCATATTGCTGTACTGCGTGGCGATGTGGAAAACGCCCTTTTTCTTAAGTGACCCAATTTCACTCCTCTCCCCGGATCTAGAGTGTTACAGCTTTACAAATGGATCTTTTTCCCCTGGTTTTTCAGTTTTGTCATGCCTAAAATCCGATTAGGTGGCAGGAGAGGAGGGTGATGTGTAGTTTTATTTCAGGTGAACAGCCTAGGAGACAGTGAATTTAACACAAGATTTCAGGTATCTGACTTCGTATGAATCTGCAACATTTACCTTCCGCCACCTCCTAACACTCATCTCGCCATGTTGTGATGCAGATCCCTGTGTGAAACTGTGGTGGCTGGTTTATTTTAATTTTTATCGCTTCTGTAGATGAAACATTTTGAATGCCCAATTAAACTTTATTGCCGGCTGTAAACCAAGCCTTGGAGATTGTGCTGCTGAGTGCCAGTGAAAGTGCTTGAGCAGTGTCTGAGGACAGTTTAAAAAAAAAAGGTGGCTCTGAACACTTTTTTTTTTTCCTCGTTTTTGCTGTTGGACTCCTCTTACTGAAAGACACTGCGAAGAAGGACAAGTTATTATCTTGTATCCAGTGCTGTATAAAAGGGAACCGCGGGTTTGATGAACATGCATTATTTTTTAGTTGGAGGCATCCAACAAGACGGTTTAAGTGAAACTTATGTTTTGCTTTTCCTTGAAGATGCTTTGGCTCTGCGTGGGTTTTGTATATGTATACGTACTGTTTAGCACTGTGGACACCATCTGCTTGTTTCCGATTGCAAGCTGTGCTCTGAGGCCAGGCTTGCAATGTCAATGGTGGTACAGACCTGCAGGTTATTGAATTTGACCAAGGCGTGACCATCGGTGGCAGAAACAGTCCCTTCCATATTCAAAAATGTGACGTGACCAGCAGAAAATTATCTTCTGTTTATCATTAATAGTGATGCTGATTATTATCACTGTCCTGACATTATATACAGGTTCCCTTTTTATGTAGAATACTGATTTAAATTTATAAATCAGGATTTATAAGTAACTCTAGGCTGCTATTGTTCTAAATGTACCTCCTTTCTCTTGTACATTCCAAAAAAGTGGCAAAATGAATTCTGTCTTGTCTTTATGATCACTTTGTTGTTTTAATAGGGCACTTCATCCAGCACACAAAATTTGGGAAACACTCTGATCTAGCTATTCATTTTAATACATTAAGAACTTACATTTTAAGATATGGCTATGTAGACTGTCTGAATGCTGTTTTGGAATGAAAACACTTGTTGGCCTTATTTTTGTGATCGTTTTAAAGTAGAAGTTTACCTTCAAGCAAATTATAACATCATTTATGCTTTGTGCTACCTGGCAGATGTGTGCAGTTGCTGATGAACTGATTAATCTGGCAGGGCCCGAGGTCTTTGGGATATAATGTATTTGCATGATTGCAACTCTTCCTCCAATAATAATGACATATCTGGTCAGAGAAAAACGGTTATCTAGACAAAACATCACCTCAGACAACATATTCCCGTGCGCTAAGCAGTTATTAAAGCTAAACCGATAATTTTAATCCAGAAAATAAGGTGAGCTAAGCGTTCTTTTGCACAGCTAGTGTCTCCTGCTCTCTATAACTGCCTTGAATATTGTTCTTGGGTTTTGTAAAACAAAACTGTTATCAACCGGAGAGTAGCTGGTAGATTAAAGTGGTGATTTCAGTACCCCCCCTCCCAATTATAGCAAGTCTTAGGTATTTGCCAAACATTTTTACATATGATTATGTGGCACTTTCATAGTGGATTCCCAGCCAGGGAACGAAGATCATCGTCCCGATATTCTCATTAATGTCTGAGTGTTTGGTGCTGCACTCCGCATGACTTTGGAGTGGCAAAGACTGCTCGGAAGTGCTCCGTTTCACCGATGCCCCCAAGAGTCCTGCTCTTGTTTTTTATTTGTCTTGTGATGAGAATTAATAATCCTGTCTTTTTTGAATGGTTTTTGAAACAGGTCCTTAACACATCTTGACACCTGAGTCGCCCGTTCCTTAGGAAACCACGTGACTTTCAGTAGTATTGTTAACAAAATATTGATCTTAACAATCACCCGATCGGTTTGCTCAGTGTTCTATGTATATATAATATATAATACCAAGGAGACAAGTCCAGGCTGAAAGCGTTGTGACGTCTGGAGCAAGCTATATAGCCACGCTGTTGAAGATGACACTTCTTTCAAGAAACATTTGGATGAGATCTTCAGTTCGATAAGCTACGATCTCAACTTCTAGAAACCTCTTGTTCTTTGTTGGTTTAATATTTAATGTGCTTGATGGGATGAATGGCCTCTTACTTGTAACTTTTGTGGCCTTCTGACTCACTCCAACACTCACCCCTGTCAGCTGCGTCCTCTGGTTTACAGCCTCTAGTTTCTTGTGTGCCAGGCAGGAGCACCTTCTTTTCCCAGGGGTCATTGCCTCAGCATGTGCTGTGACAGGGACAGGCCCGCAGAGGGGGTGCGCGGATCTAGAGCTGTTTACAGCCATGTTTTGGGGGTGGTGGGGGTGTCGGAGTCAGCCGTGCCTTAAAAAAAGTATTACCCTTAAGTTGTGTGTTTTTTTTTTTAACAGTGGACCATTCCCCTACCACTCCTCCACTGATGGAGAGGCCCTGCTTTGTCTTGGCAGTTAAAAAGAGCTTTAGAAACCGTCAAGTTGAGGGCAGTGTATTAATTACCAGAGGGAAGTTTGGGCTGAAAATCTTTTTAAAAAAACAAACTCCCTAATTAATGCCTAATAAAACTGCAAAGGAGTCTTTGGTTTGTAACAAGAAGAAGGAAAAAAAAATCCCAGAACACCTGGTTAATTGCTGTCTTTGAAGTCAGAAGATTTACAGACGTGTGTGATTACTGTAACTTGGCCTTCCTTCCCAGTTCCCTGCCCTTAAAGCCCAACACGGCAGATCACATGTGAGGCAAGAGCGTCCGTGCCGATATGAAAAACTTACGTCCGGTTCTCGCGATTCAGGATAGAGGTGTGTGTGTGTGTGTGTGTGTGTGTGTGTTTGGGGGCGGGGGGGCTCAGTCTCTGAGGCGTATAATCTCAATAACAGTCCTCTGTCTGTTATAATGCTGGGAGTACAGCTGGTTACAGTGAGGGTCACTGAGCTGGATATTATAGCATGTATTTCATGTACAATCCAGACTCAAAGACCATGAATCTGTGCCAAAGCGGTGAAATTGCAGAGGCTCTGCGCTTCTCTTCCGCGCTGTGTATGCTCCCCATAGTGAACACCTCGACTAGTAGGCTAGCAACCCATCCAAAAGTGGGAATTCTGTTCCCACCTGCGGCACACTGTGTGGCCCATGTGCAGGCAGTGCGCTCCACCGCGGGAGAGCCGGCTCTTCAGCTGCAGCCAGTGGAGAACGTGCTGGGCTCTGCGGGCTCTGCGGGTGACTGCCAAACGGGCTTGTGGGGCTCCTTAGGTTCCACTGCGTGACTGTCGGCAGTACAAGAAGATGAAAAGCTCAGGAGTGTTACTGGAGGAGTGCAAGGCCCGGACGAGCCTTGCAACTAGTGTGCATGAGGCGGACGGGAAGCAGAAGGGTTCATCTGACCTGTACCTCTCCTTCTCGCAGAGACGCTGATCTTTTTCTCCTGGAGTCTCGGAAGCTGTGGGCCACCGACGAAGGCTGGCTGGAGTTTGACATCACCGCCACCAGTAACCTCTGGGTGATGAACCCTCGACACAATCTGGGGCTCCAGTTTAGCGTGGAGGCCAGCAGCGGTAAGGAGCTCTCGGCCGCGAGAGGACATTTTGCAGTTTCATGAAACGTCTGATTTCTAAGCAAATAGTAAGATAGCTGTCTATACGTAAAGGCATTAAAAATGTTAAATGCTGTTAGTTACAATACTCATTTTAATGCCTTTCAATATTAATCAATTTGGGAAACTTAATGCACTTATGTTAGCAATTAAGTTGTATCCTAGGTTCAGTTTTCAGGTTCAGAGTGGAGATTCTTCTGGGTGTGTAGTCTGTTCACCCCTTGATGTCGTTGGGTTTTTCCCACTTCCCAAAGACTTCACACCAGAGTTCACTGTCCGTGTGTGCATGTCACACTGTGGCCTGGGTGTAGTCCTGCCTTGTAATACACTGCTGTCCCTTGCGGGATGTCGTTCCATCTTGTGTCCTGTGTCTCCGGGATGGGCTCCAGGTCCTCCTAAACCTCTCCAGGAATAAGTGTCTCTCCTGCTAAGGGAAGCTGTCTTGCTCATATGCATCTGTAGGAATTTTCAGCAGGTAAGACAGGAATGATAGGAACTCAGTGCTGGCTGATGAACAAGAAAGATGTTCATCAGCGAGCAAAAGAAACTGTAGACAATGATTATTTCTGTTCTCTGACAAGTATGTCTGAGGTGAAGACAGGGATACAGTCTTATGCCCAATACCTGGTTGTGTCGCAAAGCCAAGGTTGTTGAAAGGGATACTGTACCTACAGGCAGTCTCCTCAGTTTGGCATATTGCACGACTTGTCAGTCTGCCCAGAGCAACTAATTTAGGTACTCCAAAAAATACATTACTTGCTGCAAAGTGTGGGTGACCAAAAGTCAGGAAAACTTCCCATCGGAGCACAGTGCCTATCGAAGGGCTCAGCAAGCTGCAGATGCACTCCCAGGACGGCGTTCTGTACTCTTTTGTTGCAGCTGCATTTGGTACCTTCCCCCACCTGCTTGGGCCTGGGCTCTCTATGATGTGAGAGAACCATCCAGGTGACGGGGCCAGGAATGAGATCAAGGACCTACTGTATCCGACAAAATGGCAGTGTGCTGGAACAGAGGGACCTGACCTCTTCCCAGCTGTGTCCTGATCAAGCATCTCTGGACCATCAGCCGCAGTGCAAAGACAAAGTCGGACTCATCAGAGTTGGAACGCCGTTCCCCAGGTTCAGAATCCAGCTTGGATGAGGTCATCGGTGCCGTGTTCCTGTGGGAGTATAGACCTCAGCTGGCACAGTCCTGTAGCTGCTCTGAAAGCATGTGCCACATTGTTTCTAAGGTTTCTGGAAAAAGCCCTGCTATGCCAGGATCATAGCCGGGAGGGGAGGGGCAGGATCAGGGAGGGGCATCCTATTCGTTCCTGAAGCACAGGGAGAGCATATGACGTTCAAGAGCACCGATTCGAGATCGGTAGGCTACATAAAAAAGCAGACCAAGAAATATCTCCGATATTAGGAAATAGAGGAAAAGAAAGTGCCATTAAAATACAATTAAACTCAATCTCTGGAAATGTTCCTCATCGGGATTTCTGTCCCGGTTCTTGGTATGCTCCTGTCAGTTTCTAGTGTTGAATAAAAAGGAAAATTACCTCCGAAACAAAGCTTGATGTAAAATCTGTCTCTCCGCTTCAGGGATGGTCGTTGGTCACGATTGTGCAAGTATTGCTTCATTTCTGTGATGTACACATGGATGTACAGTTTTCATGAGGACATCCTGGTGTGCCTTGGGCTGCAGACCATGCTGACACACTTTGAGGATGTAATTTGTGGGAATGTGGTAGGAAGTGTTGTTTCAACATGGATTTTGCTGCAGGCAATGGACATACTGTAATTGCTTGGAACACTTGAACCTGGCTAAGATCCACTCCCTCAGTTCCAGACAAACGAAACAATGTCCACAAAGCTTTTCCATGTCATCTCTGTTTATTACCTTCGTGAACTCAACCTGGACGAGAGGCCAGCAAAGTTTCCTTTTGAAAAGGATAGACCGTTTGAAGCAAGCTTCTGCCTGGGTTAAACAGATGGCATTGTCCAGAGATAGACCAGACATGGCGGTGATCGCTAACTTCCAGTTGATGTCTCTCCAGAAATACGATAACAATAGCGATAATCTCTCCAAGTCTGTTCACAATCAGTCTGCTATAGGGGAAATGGGAAGTCTATCTTCCAAGGTGAATAATCCCTACGACCGTGCTCTTCCTCAATGTCAATTAGTGTAAGCCCCACCCCCTGTTAAAGAGGATTGGATGAATTGGCTGCACTTCGGCAATTAGACCGCCCTCAATATAAAAAGATTAGGGAAAGCACAATATTTGCATTACTTGGTTCCAAATCTGTTCAGCAGGTGCCATCTCGACAATACATGGGCACAGCATGAATGCCAATTAATGCCTTAATGATCGACGTGTAGAGACGCTGTAGTACTAAAGACCAAAGTCGAGAAGTAAAACCCTTGGATCTTCGGTGTTCTGTGCAGTCCTCTTTTGAAGTGGACTGAGTAGGGTGGTGCGTCAGTGTGTAATGACTGCAGAGGAGCCGGTGGAAATTATGCTGAAGAACATAAAAGGAGAAGCACAACGTTTCAGTTGTTGGATCCGACACCCATCGACACCTGAAGAAGGATCGGATGACTTCTTTTGTTGAAAAGTGTATACGTTTCCCAATTTATTTATTTTTTTTATCTTCGCGGTCGGCGCCGTCTTTTTTTTTTTTCCTGCGCAGGCAAGACCGTGAACCCGAAGGAAGCGGGCCTGATCGGGCGCGATGGGCCTCACGACAAGCAGCCCTTCATGGTCGCCTTCTTCAAAGTGAGCGAGGTGCACATTCGCACCACCCGGTCCACGAACAAGCGCCGACAGCAGAACCGCAACCGCTCCACTCAGCCACAGGAGGCGCCCAGGAGCCCCAGCATGGCAGGTGAGTCCCCTCCTCTCCCCTGAGCTCTCGGCCCTGTGACACGTCGGCATAGTATGGCATCTTTCTGGGACTGGAGTTCATAGATGTGTTTATTGTGCTTCCGAAATGTGAGTGTTGTAACACGAGGGAGGGAGATGGTATAATGGAAGCTGGGGAGCAGGTTGTATTGTATTTCACCGAACTGCTGAAATGAGAGGTCTCACGTTGGGAGTTTAGGGTTGACTTTGCTGCGTAGCATCTGACGTAATAAGCCAAATTACGGACAGTGACCTTTTCGATGAATGACTCGGGGAGTGAAGAGAAGCGAGCCACTGAAAAGCTGATCAGTTGCATTATGTTAATTTGTTTTGCTGCAGTGTTTCCTGTTTAAAATGACTCGAAATGTTCATTTTTGAAAGGGGAGATAAGTTTGCAAGACTGCTACTCCGGTTTTCCTCATGACGCTAGGACTAATTCCCAGATCTGACTGGTCTGTGTATCCCTGGCAGCCTGCTGGACATGAAAGAGGGATTGTAGTGTCTGGGGTGAATTACCCCGGCATTTTTTAGTTCAGTTCATATTGAAAATCGTTTGGTATCAAATGATTAAACAACCTCTTCCCCTGTGGGCCCATCTAAAATTTAGTCCTATATGAGTTTGTATAATGCCACCATAAAGACCAAGGGTCCCCCAGTCTTGTTCTACCCCCGGAGCCCCTCAGATACTCCTGGTTTTGGGGGCTGCCCCGCAGTGGTTGCATGGAGGTGGCCTGGGTCTTCCGTCTTTATTTTTGCCGACAAAACCCATCGGAGCTTGTCGTATATCCTGTAGTTTCCAGTTCATCATTGCGAAACCATGTTGGGTGATCCACTGGTGTTTGGTTACGCTGTAGATGTGCGGTATACGGTATCTGGGGAATGAGCCCGGCGCTTCTAGACCTTCAAGGTCTTCGGACCAGGAAGCGGAGCCGGAGCAGCGCAGAGAGTTCGCCTTGCACGGCGGTGCACGAGACCGTCTGGATCACGGTCGTCCTTGATCACGTGGGACAGCCGACGGAACATGCCTCTTGCACACCTGCACCATAAAAACCTCTCTTGAAATAAGCACATGTCCCAAACACTGCTTCTAACTGCCCGGCGTCTTTTTTGTCGTTTTTTTTTTATTAATTAATTCAAAGGTACTTTCCTTAAAATTCAGAACGCAGGGGACTGGGATTATAGACATGCTTTTTTTTTTTTTTAAAGTATTGCCTAAATCCATTTGTTGGAAATGAGTTGTTTGTGTTCCACTGCTATTTGAAATCTAATTTTTCACCGTAACTCGTGCACAGCTGCACGCAGCCTGTATTGCAATGTTATTCAAAGTGATGCAACTGGTTTGTTACCGTGCGACTTGTATCATGTTTATCATTATTCTAATCATCATTGACATTTTGTTCATCTTTTCTAAGGCTTTTTCACTGAGAATCGAATGCAGTGAGAACCTCTAGTGTTGATTTAGAAGTTATGCATCTGATGTCATTAATGGCTTTATCACTCTAGAGCTCATATAATTAGTATTTGCTTGTGTTGTTACGAGTAAGCAAAAAATTGTTCATTTTTTTTTCTGGGTAATGGAATTCATAACCCAAAATATTTATCCTCTCCCACCCAACCACTTGAGACATCCAAAGTCTAAATATTTAGACATGGATAAGGAAGGTCTGAGTCTTCGTGACAGTGGTCCCTTCACAGATATTATAACTGCAATAGGATTAGGCAGATGTTTCTAATAATGTGTCATATTTTCTAAATATAATGCCAGTTTCTGGAACTGGGGCTTGAAATGGACACCAATTGTGATTTATCGTAAGGGTGGCCTAGCAACCAAAACTACAATATTCCTGTGTTCACAATGTGGCTTTGGTTTTCCTGTTGGCACTGAAAGAGACCACCATTGTTATATTCCTTTGTGTGTGTGTGAGAGACACCTGACTCTGATTCATGTGTGGCTGTTGAGGCAAAGACTTCTGAAGCCTGCACAATGCAGGAAAACTCTTTCCAACACCAACAGTCTTAAATGTTATTATTTTCTTTTTTTTTTGTAAACATAAGTACTGTCGACAGTGCAAATTGCATGTGATTTACTGAAGCGCTGTGCTTCAAGGTGCTTACTGTAAATGTGCCGGCTATTTAACTGGAATATAGATCATCGGGGATCTTCCAATGCGTGACTGAAGGTCTGTGGTTGCTTTTGTGGGTGAAGGTGCTCTCGGGCAGATTGGCTCTGAAAATGTGCAAATTGAAGTAGTCGGGAACGAGTTAAAATGTTTCAAAGGGGGGTGTCTGAGGAAGTATTTTTAAAACGAAAATAAGACAATAACACCTTTAGACCTAATACAGGGGTTCAGCCAGCAGCGTGTGTGAGATGAGCCCTTTGCCTGTGATTTAATGACCATCTCCTGCTATAATTTGAGTTGCCCCTAAGACCTGTAATTATTCGAGTCAGTCATTAACCGCTTGGTAAAAGACTGACCAACTTAACATTATTGCTTAAAGAATTATAATAACACAGCGCTGTACAGCTGTCTTTTTTCATCTCCCCCATCTCCTTTTGTTTACTGTTAGCATAATTAGACATTGCATCGTTCTTGAGAGGGTTTAATAACCTCTGTGATGAAAGACAGGAAGAAAGATAAACTTTGGTGCGAAAAAAAAAAATCCTATGGATACGGACAACGGCCACATTCTCTTTCAAGCTTCAACAGGAGATCCTTCCAGTGTACCATGTTTGCACTGTGAAAGGGGTTAGACTTCTGTCGTTTGGTGTCACTGTGACTTATCTGGACGAAGTGCCTCTTTCTCATGCTCTTTCAGGGCTTGAGGTTCCTTGCCGAAAGATTTTTAACTAGTCGTTAAACGAACATGAACTCGTATAAAAGTTCTATTAGCCAAAACGTTATGCAACTTAATGTGTTGCAACTCTAAAAAGGCATTTTCATTGGCTCGGATGGCAGGAGTGCTGAAGCTGTGCATTGCGTACGATGGGGCAGACGGAGCAAAGCCAAGCTCGGGATGGGCCATGGGGCGTCGAGGTTACCAGGGCGACAGGAGGCAAAGCCCTCTGGAACAACATGGAGAGCAGTCTTGTAGGGCAGCACCACCTTCACAGGCCCTGAAGCTGCGTCCAGTTCCCTGGCAGTCGAGAGGAACCCAGAGGGCTCTGCCAGGGGTTGAGCCGGGTGCTCTTGCAGTGATGATGATTTTTTCCTCCATGTCTCGCAAGGCATGAAAGTTAAAAAGGACTGGACAAGAATTTCAGCATCGTAGACAATCAAGGACTGTTCTTCCGTTTTCTTCAGCAAGTGGCTGAACCTCCAGGCGGAGGTGGAAACCACTTGGGAGACTTTCCTTTAAAAAACAAATCTGTGCCTTCCCTTAATCTGTTCAAGAAAGGAAGTGGAACTACGCACCACCAAAAAGTCCCAGTGCCTGTGAAAGGCAGTTAAACCATCAAGACGTTTAAGAAAAAGGCCAGAAAAAGAACTTCAATGGCTCGTCCCTGGAGCCACACCCAAGTACAAAGCTATGTCTGTGATACTCGTTTATAAATACCGGATGCAACATGAAATATCTCTCGTTGCTTATATTCACTGTCATTCTTCAAATATTTTAGATGTTGCAGATCACTCCTCCCTCGCATTGTGAAATGTCCTTGGAAAATATCTAGTATCTGTTACTCTCACTTATTGTATTTTTTTTTTCTGAAAGATGTTTAAGTACAGAAACCACATCCATGACAAAAATGCTAACAGCACAGTCATGCTGAGAAACGTTTCTTTTGATGGTCAGCACAATGTAGCACTTAATTCAAGACCTTCTTTTCTTTACCTTTTAGCTGTGCCTGATGCCCTCAAATCAATTCCCCCGAACTCTGTGGGAGCACAGAACATGTAATGCAAGCGACGTGACCAGTCAACCTTCAGACTGTTTTTAAGGAGATACAATACCGAAGAAAATTGTTTTTTTTTAATTGTACTTCTATAGAAAAGACATACAATGGACGATTTTTTATCAGGACTGTTTGGTTTGAATGCAGCTTTGCCATGAGTAGCATGGCATTCGGAATCCAACGTAAGACTACAGCAAACTGCTGGTACACGTGACTTGTTTTTTTTAGTACGTTTGGCACTTTTTGAGGAAAATGGAGCATGCCTTATGCAGCAGGGTAATAAGCAGGAAGTGGCGCGGAGGGGAGGAGTGTTTTATAGGGGCTACTGATCTGGCCTTCACACTCGGGGAAATCACTTCGTAAATAGCTTCTGCTCTTTTCTTTAATAGGCCCCTGGACTGTAAAGGCTCCAGTTAATGAAGGAGTGGTGTAAAGCTCTCGTGGCGCGGATGTCGAGGCGGAGCGCTGCTGGGGGCGGGGGTTACAGGCCCACGGAGCCCAGCAGAGGCAGCTCACGCCCCGGCAGAAGCGTTAGGAGGAGAAAATCCGTTCCACCTCGGGTGGTGTCCCGCGGCTGTTGCTAGTTCATGGACAATCAGTGCACCACAAGAGCACTGGTGGATTATTTCTTAGATTGTAGACTATACCAGTGCATGTGTTGCGTGAAAAATGTCCTGTATTACAAAACTGATGTAGGGAAAAAATTGTTTTTTTCAAATATCTAATTTCCTCCACCTGTTTTCATTTATGGAAACATTTAGCAAACCAAGAGCCCGTTCTGATACTGACCTTTCATGCTGGAAACCTGCGTCTTTGGGTTTGCAGTGCATTCAACTTGTTGATTTTTTAAGACGCTTTTCGATTTGATTTAACGTCTTAAAGTGTTGTGGCAGCCTTCTAAAAGTCGCGTCGTGGAAGTCGTGTGAATCCGGGGTGGAGATGTGGTTTGAACCGGAATAGGAACGGCTGAAAACGAAGCGCAGGGATGGTTGCGCGCATTAAAAACCGGGAACACTCAGGAAAAGCCCTTCAGATTTCCCTGTAATCTCGCAAGGGAATGAATGAGTGAATGAATGAATTACCCTGAAGAGGGATTGCCGAGATGACTCTGGGGGGGGGATGTGCTCTGGGATCTTTGCTTATTTTCCTCTGTGGTGCCGACGTGCCTGGGAACACCCCTCTATCATCACAAAGGAGTCCAACGTTCACATATATATAAGATGTATATTTATATATGCGAGAACCCAGCTGGGTGAGGCATTTCTCTGCCGGAGCTGCTGAGAAAGGGATTGGTTCAACAGGGAATTGTGATTGTCAGTAACAAATAGTCAAGACCTGAGTTGAGCATCTCAGGTGGAGGACAAAGGCATGATGTCTCTACTTGCCATACTGGAACGTCGGGCTGGAAATTGTGCTGTATAGAAGAATGCCCCTTTCCCATTCACCAAAATCACTTTCAGCAGCAGCTTGGGCAATCTTTCTGTCCCTGCACTGGCTAGGCCCAGCCTAGAACAAACACATTTGACTTGCGACATATTTACAATAGTTGGCAGACAAGGATGTGACTGGCCAGCCTGCAATCTCTTCCTGTCTGCAGGAAGTTGGATCTTTTTTTTCCGTTCTCCCAGCACTGAGGTGAGCAGCCCTGGCCCTGGAGGGCCGGAGGCTCTGCAGGCGCTGGTGCTTTGTGGAGACCGAGAATCCTGTACCTGCAGACGCCTCAGCCCTCCGGGACCAGGACTGGGCACTCCTGTCCCAGCCAGCAGGGGAAGGTGGTTGCCTGTTGAGAGGTGTCAAGGAAGTAGCACAATCCGTTCTCTGGGCTGGGAATTCACCAAATACGGTGGTTCTAGTGCTCTCGGTTACCGTAGGTTGTAGGATTAATTCTTGAGCTAAAACAACAAACTAGAATGAGAGAGAGAGGCATTTCCTTATGACGCTACAGACCCACCGACCTGCCATTGTTCCATTACACAGGGGACCCTTGTTCTGAGGCCATGTTTCATCTGGGACCCCAGCTTGCACCCATTCAACAAAGACGCGCAAGAGGAGCAGGCTGTTCTCAGACACAAATGAAACTTAAAGGCCTCGTGCGGTGATCAGCTGTTGTAAAAAAGCATGAGCGACGTTAGTGGCGTGACTGGATTCCCAGTGGTCATGCCGCATGAGCTAGTTGAGTTTGGGGGAGCTCTGTCCACGAGGGCTGCGCGTCCGTGATGCTGGCGCAGGGGCACGGCCCCCTGTCAGCACTCCGGGACCGGCCCGAGCCGAGGCGCGACCCGCTCCCGTGCGTCCGAGGCCTGCACTCGTTTCCCTGCCTGCACTCATCCCTGCCTCTTCGCCCTGGGCTTCCCCACAGATTACAACAGCAGCGACCAGAAGACCGCCTGCCGAAAGCACGAGCTGTACGTCAGCTTCCGAGAGCTCGGCTGGCAGGTAAGGAAACGGTCCGCCGGTCCGCCGGTCCGTCGCTGTGGGACTGACTGGGTCTTATTAAAAACCCACGAGGGACAGGGAGCTCTTCGAACAGCCCTTCAGGGCTGGGGGGGAAGGTGGGGTTGTAAGAGCAGCCAGCTTTTTTCTTAATTATGTGGGCAGATTACCCTACTTATTGACAGCCACCATTTCTCTGTGGTTACAGTTTTATCTGAGGGAGTGGAAAACGTAAGGAAGTAACGGAAAATAACTTGAATGTTATCCTGCAAAGTGTTTATTTCAACCTGTATATTTTATGAACTGTGATTTTTGTGCGTCACCTTATGAAACCCATAGCCCTCTTTAATGAAGAGAAAAAAAACTGGCTTTTTTTTGTTATTGTCTTTGACAAAATGTATGATTAGTAGGTTTGCTTTAAAGATTGTAAACCCTGGCAGTAGATTTATTTTAAAGCTCATCTGTATCATTTCCTGATTGTAAACAAATGTACAGCTAGACAGTACTGACATCTAGAGGAAAGTTATCTACACCGACACGAAGGAGTGTTGAACACCCATTTTATCAGCAACAATCTGAAGTGTACTTTGGTTCATTATATCGTTTAAACTTATAACCTAGCACCGTTGGTATATTTTGTGGATCTGCAGTTTATTAAGATATTGGATAACGAATATTTGGAGTTTATATCAGTGTTGCAAAATTGTGCATTTCAAATTGAATGCATACTTCATGAAATTACTAAAAACGCAAGTCAACACAGCTCATTTCAGTTGAGCTAACTGGTTCTGTCTGCGCTGGTTTGCTTGGTTCAATGGGTTGAACCTGATTAAAATCCAATGCCATGTGAATTTTTCCATCTACGAATGAGTGGAGAACAATTTGTAAAGCCTGTAAGTTCGTAAAAGCCACTGTGATACTAGCACTGTGCTTTTACTGCAGATGAGGAAGATGAAGCATGGAAATAAAGATGTTAAGGGGGAGAAACTTTCCAGAGGTTTTTGAAATCTTAAGTGACCCAGGGCTTGGGAAAACCCTGGAATTGTCAGTCTTTGACAGATGGTAGAAAGCGAGCATTTACAGCTTTTAAGGAATAAGCATTTTTGTCATCCGAGCTACTGGAATCTTTCTCAAGGAGTTATGAATCAGCTGGGAAGACTGCTAACTCCTTGCCAGCAATAACAACACATTTAAAAGGTTTCTAATGGAAGTTTTTTTTTTAAAAGAAAGAAAACGCTGCCGGTAGTACCGCATTTCTTTTCGTTATGAGCTAAAACGATTTACTTGACAAGCATTGGTTTAAAAAAACAACCTGAAATGTACTTTCTGTGAGATGCGTCCTTCTGTTTAGTAGCTGTTCAGAGAAAGAGAAGGAATTCAAGAGAAGTTACTCATTAAACTAGATAAAGCAGCCCTTACTGCTCTTACCCACATCCTCATATTGTGCTGAATTACTGCCAGCTCAGAGGCTGGGCTCTTCCCCATCAGCGGTCACACCAGTGGGAAACTGGCATGTTCCTCTGCAGGCACTGATCAAGCAGGCCCTGTGCCCTGCAGGGTTCATGTCAGGGCTCTGCGCTACCCATGAGGGAAGAGGAGAGCGGTTCATCTAGATAGCTGCCGTTTTGAGGTTTGGCATAGGGCACTGTTTTCTTTCAGGGTTTTCCACATTGAAAGGAATTGCAGAAACAATAGGATGTGTGTGTTCTCGAGGGACGGATGTGCATTCCTCATAAAACAAGACACTGCCTGACAAATCTAATTACAACATTCATATATCCCAAGATAAATTCATACGTCTCGAGAGACAGAGATCTCGTTTGACAGCATAAAACCGAATCTAGCTGTGATAAGTGGTGCAATATTGTGGCAGGAATACTACCTTTTGTGTGAAAAGACATAATTCCATTTTCTATCACTCTACTAAGCAGCTTGCAGTGAAGAACTATTTTCTAGAATGTGATTAATCAAATGGCAGATATTTATCAAGATGAAGTGTTTCATCTGCTGAAAGCCACTGGAACAATCGGACATAAGTCTGATTCTTTTAAATGGACATAACCCTACATTTTTAAATTTACTTAAATGAATGTTAGCATTCAAAACAAAGTGTTGACTTAAAAAAAACAGGAACCATGACCCCCTTATTTCCACGGATACAATTTTATTAAACTTGAAAATAATAGGGGAAAAAAACGTTGAATGCAGCAGAAAAATGAGCACTTTAACGTGGATGTTCCTACTTCAGCAGGAAACGGCACTATCTCTACTGCGTCTTCAGGTGTTTCCTCCATTTTCAGGACTGGATCATAGCGCCGGAGGGGTATGCGGCAAACTACTGCGACGGAGAATGTTCCTTTCCTCTGAACGCTCACATGAATGCCACAAATCACGCCATCGTCCAGACACTGGTGAGCGCCGGTCCCTCGGGTCAGGTTGATCCGCCCGTCTTGCCACGCCCTGGGCCCCCAGGGGCCTGTGTTGGGGCAGTCGCTCTTCCCAGTTTCACGTACCGTATGGCTTCATCGGGGACGGGCAGTCGTGATCCTGGAGAGCAGGTTTGCCCGACGGCCTCAGTTAGCCAGTTACGCAGCTCAATGGGACCAGTTTGACGGCGTCTCCCAGCTCGTGCAGAGAGGATGGGACTCTTGTAGGCCTGCCAGTGCCGTATTCTTGTCTCCATCTGCGTTGCGCCGTTGAGTGCTTCTTGCAGTGGAAAAAGCCATCTGTGGCTGTTGACCTTGATTTGATCGACACAAGAGGCGGAGCGATGTGGCACCTGTAGCACTGTGATTGGGCAAGAGCTAATGGGCACACCCGTAAGTCAAACTGCAACTCAAGGGTCGACAACCTTTTTGTGGTTTCCTGGACATCTCCGAATATTGTGACAAGAATCTAATTCCTGGAAATTTCATGGTCAGGGCAGTTAAAAATCTGGAGTTGTAATGTGCTTAATCACTTCTTTAATTTGGGTTTACAAGCTTGTAAAAGAGTGGAAAAACAGGTTGGTTTCTTCACACCTCTGAACAGACAAATGTAGTAAAAACCTTGAAGTAGTGAGACATTTAATTGGAAAATGACTGAACAGTGGGATTAAAGTCATTTCAATTTTTCTAAGCAAGACTGAGTTCAGAAACCAAAATTCCCAGAATGTATTCGCATCGTGCTCCTGTAGTTACACTTTGGGTACTAGAAATGAAGTTCAAAACTTGAAGCATGACTGTCATGACCAGATGCTCATGCATAATCACAACCAAGTACTCCTGTGTGTTTTAATTACTGGCTATTAACTATTTTATTTGTTTTAACCTTCTGGAATATTTTAAGATAGCTACATGCTATCTAGACTATATAGACAAAATACCGCTATTAATCTGATTTGCACCTTCAGTCAGAACCTTGATCGACTGCAGTCACTGAACCCACACCTACTGTAATAAATTCTTCATGCAGGTTAAGGGCGTTACTGTGACTAGTCGTGCAGACAGCCTTTAAAATCGATTGGAATAGCATATACGAGTGCCATTCACTTTATTTTAACCTCTGCTGTTAGTGATGTAATTGTGACATAAACGATGTGAGGAATCGTTCACTTTCGTTTTTTTAATACCTGTATTGCACGAGATGCTTAAGCTTCCGTAGTTTCAGCTCTGTTCAGTTTTGCAGATATTTACTGATCATAGTCTCTGAAAACCTACCTGTCCGCGTCTTACACCCCTACAGGTCCACCTCATGAACCCAGAGAACGTCCCCAAGCCCAGCTGCGCCCCGACGAAGCTGCACGCCATCTCGGTCCTGTACTTCGACGACAACTCCAACGTGATCCTGAAGAAGTACAAGAACATGGTGGTGCGGGCGTGCGGCTGCCACTGACGCCGGCTCGCCCTCCGGGCGCCCCTTCGGAGGAGGCCGGCAAGACTCCCTCCGGGGGCGTCTGGAAGCGGGGCGTCCAAGGCCGAAAGAAAGACCTCGCATTTCCAGATCTTCTCCTCCGTGCCCCCCCCGCACGCGACTCGGGCGAAACCTTTGGATGGCGAGAGGCTGCCTTCGTCTGCCCCCCAAAAAACACTGCAAGAATGAACACACAGGTGACCCCGTCACCCCCCCAAGATCGCCACAGCCTCGCCGTGCGCCCTGCGCCCTTCCTGCTGGTGAAACGGAAGAGCTCACGGGTTCCTCCGGGACACCTGCATCACAGGCAGGGCGTTGTTGTTGTTGGTTTTTATTTAAAAAAAAGAAAGCCAACCTGTATTTTTAGCACTCTGAAAAGTGCCCTTGTCTTGACAGCAACAACGTTAGCCGGTTTTTGCCGAAACGGCTCGGTAAGGGATGTCGTCGTCTTTGGGTTTCCGCGGTGCGCTGTGGAAGAAGTACCGCACGCCCGCGGCACAGAGATTTGCCATTCCTGTGCGTTCGCCCTTCTCCCTTGCGCAGACCGCTGTGTTTAGAACCCATAAGACATGTTGAATTAATAAACGTTTAAAGCCTAATTAGTAAATGTGGCTGTACAGTGGTTTTCTGGTGTGAAAACAGACGTAACACGGGGAAGGTTTACTTCAAACCCTAATCATTGAACCAATGCTGATTCCCCCCCAAAAAAAGGATAATTTGAGAGGCCTGTTTTGTTTTTCCAGTAGGTTCTAATTTAAGATTTTTTTAAAAGTGATTTGTACCCACCTAGTTTAGAATCGCCAACAGTTTCAAGACCCAGCTCTTTAGCCACGAGTCCTGTGCCGGGGGAGGACAGAGGGGGCAAGTGTGCGTGTTTCTCCCCTCCATGCCTGCCTGCACTCCACAGTCCCCAGGGGACCTGGCTGGAGAGCTCGTGCTGATTGGAGGACAGGTGTCTTTTGCTGACATTGTATCAGTCAACCCCACCTGACCAATTCCCCACCCTTGCCAACTGTGCACTGCCCCAGGCGAATTCCTCGCCCCCTGAGCTGCTGGCGCGTCTCAACTCGAACCTGCGGAGTTTGGGCACTGCAGGTCCTCTCTTAGCTGAACCAGGCGGGGGCCCCTGTTCAGCCACATAGCTACTGGCTTCACAGAGATGCCTTAAGACCTGAACAGATATTTCTCTTTTACTGAAGAAGTAAAGGCGTTAGCTTAAAACCTCACATATGAACTGAGAAAGCTACATCACCTTTTGTGCCTAACCTGCTACAAATCATAAGAGAAAAAATACCTCTTGTAAGCTGCTGTTTACATTTTTTTCCAGTCATTTGGAGTTTCATTTTTGTGTAAATACTTGTACATTTTCTACTTATTTATTTCACGCTTTGAATTACACAATACTTTCAATTACACAAGACCAGACAATGTTTTTGAAAAATGTTTATTACGAAAAGTGTCAGAAAGTCATGTAAACAATTTTCTTTTTCATTTTGACTTTTTGTACAAAAAATGTTCTTTAGTATTGTACAACCCTCATAAACATTACTGCTTTCCTTCACTGGAGTCTTTAATGTCTACACCATGTGCTATGCGTAACGATTTTACTGGTATTTTAAGTGGCTTCCCTGTTTATCCTTACTGATGGAAAAAGACTCGCACATAACGGTGGCATCTGCACAGAATTCCTCTACTCCAAATAAAGAGAAGAACATAAAATGGACTTGTACTGTTGTGGTCAAAACCCGAGGGCTAGAAACACTTGAGATATTTAGTTACAGGACGGGTGTAAGATTTGGGCTCCACAGCTTGTGAGTTTAGTACCATGTGTGTCAATTGTGAGCCTCGGGAGAGTGGGTGGGGAAGCAAAGAGTAGGGAGGAAAATGAGGGCGTCCCTAGAGCTGGCACTAGCCACCCGTAAGGGAACTCCCAACATGCCTCAGGAGGGTCCGAGTTGGAAAGAGACATCCCATCGAGCCACTGAAACCTGGATAAGAGTGCATCTCGGAGCGCGAAAGACTACTTGATATCCGTTCTCCTCCTAAATTAAAGCATGCCGCTACAACGACCGTAACAGCTCTCCCTGTGCAGTGCTGGAGCAGCCCAGATAAAGTCAAGTTTTCTAGATGAAAGTGTGTTTTTTTCATCAGGGTAAGTGCTTCCTCTGTTCTCTCAGGGCTGCCAAGAGGATCTTTAATTCTCATAAGAAGGAATAAAAACTAAGACCATTTTTTTTCTTGCAAAGATACTGCATTACTCAGTCCTTTAAAAGAATATGCTACTGCATGTCTCAGTTGACCAGATGAAGCAGCTCATGATTACAACAGCACATGAGTAACGTTCCAAACACAATCATGACATTAAATCTTCCTGCTTCTGTTAACAATCATATTTAACTTGGATGCAGCAAACTAGCTTTACAAAAATTCTGATATGTTAGCAGTCAATAGTATACTCATTCAAGACTGTAAACATTTTATGCGCCGGTTCCTTGGTGTAGTGACACAACGGAAACAGACTGACATGAAAAGCTTAAAACATGGGACTACAACCCCCAGCACTTTGCAACAGCAGTTTTATAATTCGTCCACCACAGCAAACAGCAGTAGCTTGTAGCTGCTCTGGCTTTTCAAAGCACAAGGGCAAAGCAGGCAATATTAGGGCTTGTAGGTTTACAAAAGATGGAACTTTATGTAAAAAAAATCCAATGAACTACTCCCAAGGATACAAAAATACTGACGCCATCAGCCACGGACCGAAAACCTCAGCAAAACCACCCTATGCAGCTTTTAACCTTCCCTGTGACACCTCTGTCGAAGCAGCTGCAAAACTAAGTTTTATAATCGATGTCAAGGAGGAGGCAGATGGTGCAATCAAATGACATTACAGCATCAGAGACACTGTGCATGTTCCCTTGCACAGCTTCAGGTTACAGTGCCAAGTTCCACATAATCCAAGAGAGTGTTTCATTACAGTATTTAAAACAAATTCCTAAGAGACCGGAAAGGTTCATTTTATGGCATTGCTGTTTCCAGGAGGTCATTTCAAACTCCCTTCCTGCACAGCCTAGTTTGTCTTCTGGTTTTAATTCCGCGCAAGCAGTTGAAGCTGGTCTAATTATTCAATTAACAGCATAATTGTAACACCTCTCACCAGATTCCAAGGTGGTTTATGGGTAAATTAAACATTTAATAAAGGTTCCATAAATTGTTTTGAGCAATCAACTGTTAATGACTTTCAGAAAAATCATATAAAAATGTTAATAACAACTGATCAAGTACTCAGGTAGTAAACAGAACCAGGATTTAGGCCATCAGTAATATAGAAATTAGTCTATTCTGCAGTGTAAAAACAAACACTGGCCAGGTAGTGGAGCAAACAATCAATACAGAAGTACTGATTTCTAAAAGTGATTTCCCTCCATTATACAGTATAAGTACAATTTGTTATATGAAACGGGTATAGAAAAGGAGAACTGGATTTGGGGTTTGAAAGGGTAAAAAGCAAACATTTCGATGTTCTTTGTGCAATCCATTCTGTCAGTTTGGAGGTTTTTATTTCACAGCTGAAAGACAGGGAGGGCACAGGGTCAACCCCAAGCAGACTGGGAGCTGGGAAGAAGCAGACTGGGTAAAGCTATTCTGAGTCTCCTTTACCAGCAAAAGTACCTTTTGTGAAACAGTGTTCATTCAGCTTTGGCCCTTTCATATGAAAAACCCAGGCCCTGGCTATTAAAGAGAGACGAATCAGACAAGGCTCGTTCCCACTTCCCCAGCCCACTGAAGAAGCTGACTCCCGTTTCTCCCCCCCGTCGGAAGTCCACCTGATGACTTGTAATCCCGCCTTAGCACAACTCCGTTGTGTCACAGAATACCGTAAGGAAAAAAATAAAACGCACAGCAGCGTCTGCCTCGGAAACAGCCGCTCCGAGCGCGATGGGACGACCCGCGCGTGACGGTGGCTGGCGGGCGGGCTGGCGGCGGCGGCGTTAGAGCTCGTCTCTGGCCTGGCGCATCACGAAGCCGTGCAGGCTCTCCAGGTCCCGGCCCCCGCTGTGCTCCCCCGCCTGCTGCCCCGCCCGGAACATCAGCAGCGTCGGGTAGCCCCGCACCTGCAAGGCAGAGCGGACACCGGGGGGTCACGGCTCGCTCCGTCGCCCCGGACCCCCCACCGGCTCAAGGCACGCTCCGCAGCGCGCGAGCACCCGCAAGGGGAGTGCCCGTTTGAAACCTCTTTCCTTTCGAATTCGAAAAACAGCCATCATCAAAAAGCCACTCCGAGGTACGTGCCGCGAGGTGGGATGCACCCCGGCTGGGGCTTCTGCCCCTTGCTGGGCACACCGTTGCGGGGCACCCATTCGCCCAGCTAGCACAGGCTGGGGGGGGGAAACAGAGCTTCAAGCCCACCTCCAATTTCATGACCAGTCCGCAGCAGCTGAGAACATTCAACAGCATTCCAGCAGCTGCAATCGTTTGTACTTT